TGCAAAAAATAATAGAAATGAATGAATTCTGTGCTCAAGATTGTTAAAACTTGATGATGAATAATAGGATTTCATGCTACTGTTCTCTCTACTTTTTTGTATTTTGAAACGTGCAATGATAATTTTTTAAAAAAGATCTATTATCTAAAGAATAATACACCAGTTAATTGTAACTAAAGTAAAGAAATTTACAACAATTTGGAAATTATCTTCATCTTCATCTTTATTTTTCCCATGGAATAGCTATGCAAAAATTGCTACTGATTATAATTGAATCCCTCCATCTGTTCCACATTTTGACAAAGCAAACTTTTTACGTAGTGAAATCAAACAAGAATATTCTTCAACAGGTACAAATTTTGTGATTTTAATAGTTGCAGTTTCTCCTGGAGGGGATAAGCAAGCATTTAATTTATTGTAGCATAAGTAAGCAATATGTGTTGTTTACAGTACTGCTTGACCTTACTCAAATTCTTTTCTTTCAGGAATACATTCACTCGACAAGGTTTTTATGTTCCAACAGATACTTTCACCTCAGATATGGTTGAGTAGAGAGCTTGAGTCACAGAGAGCTCAAAAATCCAGTCTGTAAACTATACCATTTCTTTGGATGATGCAATTCACCTAAAGTGTTTGAACACGTTAATTGAATGACAAATAATTTCTCCTGTTACAAGTGTTCCATAAGCATTATGAACAGTAATAATTACCCCACTTCAGTATCACTCATTCAAATAAGTGAAGCTTTAAAATACAAAGAACAAGCAGCTGTTTGAGCCTGTGCGATTCCATTCATTTTTTGTAGTCTAAAGGCCCTGAACACACTTAGGAGGAAGCAAATGTCATAAATTATAAAATTTTTCCCATTAAAAAAATCTTGCTGGCAGATTATAGATCTAATGCCTATAGCAGGGGAGGGGACAGAGGGGTCAAAACAGGCGAGGGAAGAGCACAAGGGACTGTGTTGATGGTTCACATGTTCTGTGGTGGTGGAATTATGGGGACTACATCTGAGGGGAGAGATCAAATACAAAAATGAACAATGATGTAAGGAAATAAAAATAAATAAATAAAAATTAATCTGGAGCATGTGCTCTCTTACCAAAACAAAGTGAAATTTTTCCTATAGATTTTTGCTTAGTTGTTAAATATTAAATAAACTCTATCCTATATAAATTCAGAATAGAATACAGATTATTTCCAGCCATAGAACTTCCTTCTTCAATGTCAATTCTGTGCATTGTTCAGTATTCAATGTAAGGCAAACAACATTGGATTTGGTGTGGGACACTCCTTGGATAGAAAAATTAAAGAAATTAATTAATAAAATTAATTAATTAAAACTTAATTTGGAATCTCAAATCAGGTTATTATGTACAGCTTATTCCTGATTCAGAAATAAATGTACATTAGGCTCCAGACATAGATTTTGGAATTTCAGAATTACTAGCTCAACATCCCAGCCAGAAACACAAGATTGAAAATTAACAGATCTAAAATAACATCTCTATTCCCCAGCATCTTTATTTTCTGCAACTTCCTCCAACATGTAAGTGCAGAGCACACAACTTTGGTGATGAAAAAAATTAGTCAAATGTCTCTGCTGTAGAAACAAGTAAATGGTTTTAAGAACTTGCTGGGCAGGGAGGGTAAATATTTGATTATATGACTCAGAAAATAATAACTCAGAAAATAAACAGTTCTTTCAGGAAATATTTGAGATTTACATGAGGTATTTTCTTTTTCTTTTTTTTTTTTTTAAGATTTATTTATTTATTTATTTATATAAGCACTGGGTAGTGTCAGAAGCGCGGGAGAGTGAGAGAATTCACCAGAGCCAGAGCAGGGAACAGAACAGGCAGACTGACGAAGTACACTGCTGAGGGGAGCAGCGGGTGCAGGAGAGGTCTGCACGCCATGTGGGACCCTTGCCGGTGGCCTGGGATCGAACCGGCACTGCAGAGGCTGCGGGCAGCTTCCCAGCCCAGTGCTCAACTGCTGCGCCACCAGGGGAGGCCCAACATTAGGTATTTTCAAGTGACTCCCTGATCTTTCCATCTAGCCAAAGGAGAGAACAGAAAAATTAACCGCATGACAAAGGTTTTTCAGTTCAGCGAAGTTGATTTGCACCACTTACCATTTAAATAGCCTGTCTGCCTGGTGCATACACCTGATAGGTCTTGATGGAGAATTACTGAGCATTATCACAAACTTAATCTGCCATTCCAGATGATGAAAAGATCAATGCAATATTCAACCGCTAATACATAGCTATTTAAAAATTATCAAAGATGATAAGAAGTAGTTTCACACAGAAGAAAGTGTATCTTTAGCGCTTTGCCTCACATCAAGGTCAGCTCTGCTGTCCTCTGTTATGTATATGGTCATTTATAGTCTTGATATGCCACAGAACATCCTTCTGGCTTGTCCAGTGTATTGACATGTGTTATACTAAATACAGCTGGTAGTTATGGATTAAGAACCCTAGGTGCTTTAGTAAGTCCCATGCACATCAGGGTAGACGCTAAACCTAAGAAGTATCAGAGGTCAAAGTTGGTGAAGTTTCTAAAAGTCGAATGTCTGGGAAATGTCAAGATATTACTTAGAAAGTAAGAAAGGTTTGCTGCACCTTCTATTGGCCCCATAAGAGGCGCAGTGCTTAGTGGGTCTTTTTTGGATTTTGGAGCAAAATATAATAGGTTTGTCAATTCAAAGCAAAGGCTTCCACATAAGCAAAGCCTTCCCCAGCAAGTCCAGGTAATCTTTCATATTTAAGTGTAATACTCTGAATCAGTCATCTGGCACATAGTAGTACCTCATTAAATTATTGCTTGTGAGAAGTCACCTGAAAAATGCATTCCGTGTGGGGGGAGAGTTGTAGGCAGGAAAAAAGGATATGTTGAATCAAAAGCATAGGTTTTTTTTAATCTCAATTTAAATGATCCCCTTATTTTACTGCATTCTAAATTTAGGTTTATCTATCTTGTTGCATGTTTACGTTTTTTGTCAAAAGCCAGATGTTTAGCTTTAAATTCTAAAATGTGTTGGTGCCAGCCAAGAAATTAATTGATTGCTATCATGCATGCAAAAATCAAATGCTTCTAAGGACAAATATTTTTGTGCAAGTTGTCATTCTCCTACAGTTTTCAACCTAGATGGTTTATTCCAATCTTATTTTTTTATGCATTGTCTAGCAGAGCAATGCTAAAATGAATGGCAGAATACATTTCTGTCAAATTATCATCACCATTTATCTTATGAAAGTTACTGTACATTTCCCCTTCCTTTCTATAATGTTTAGATATTAAAAGGAAGCTTATTATGAGAGAAGATAAGACAATTTAAAAAATGCAGTTCACACTCTTTTTGACCATAAAAGAAGTAGCACTCTTTCTTTGTTTTGGTGGCGTCAGCTGTCAGACAGGTGGAGATTACATGAAGATTGACATTCCCTGTATAATTCCTGTCTCTGACATTCCCTGTGTAATTCTTTATAGCCTCACACCTTCATGCTCTGTGAAGGGATAGTATGTTGGGGTCTGTAGATAATATTTTTCTTCCAGTATTGTTTCTGAAATTTGAAGATGAGAAGACCAAGATATATTTGTTTCTAAAAAGTCATTTTGGAGGATTTGTTTATGTAGATGCTGAGGTCATTCAATAACAGAAAAGATTTAGAAATCTATATTCTTGTATCAAAGGACTTTAATAAATAGATGGACAACAGAATCAAAAAAAATTATTTTTTCTTGTTTGGAGGGCCTCAAGAGTAGCTCTCAGAGAGCCTCTGCAGGAGGAAGAATGAGGGGCTAGGAAAGGATGCAGAAACCCAAGAGAACACCCAGTCAGCCTCCTACCTGATTTAGTCTGTATGAGAAAGAACAAACCGCTTTCACTGGAAAGGGCCACATTAAAGCGAATGGTATAAAGCAGCAAGCAGTTTTTTGATGAGACAAAAATACAAGGTGATGTTCCTAGAAGAGTTGGAACATATAAAATAGTTTTCTGATCAAGACCAAGTGTTCTAAAGGGAAATACGATGGGCTTGGGCAGAGGATCTGATTAAATTTAGGGCTGAACAGAATGGTATGGAATGGAGAGTTTTTGTCAAGATGAATGCATTGCAATCGAATTTCTAGCTATGACTGATGTAAACAGGGACGTGATATGTGATAGCACTCATTCATCTTTTGGAGAAAGAAGGGCAGCCAGAACTATTCATTTAGTGCAGATGTACTGCCCTGGTGATGTGGAAGCTGATTAGCCAGGCTCCCCATGGGCTTGGGCTAATGTGACCAGCCATAATCAATGGATGGCCAAGGCTAGGGCACTCGCAGGCTGGGAATAGCTTTGAGCCATATAGTGGTTCAGGACTTTGTCCCATTGGTTCCAAGCATTTTCAAAATCTCTGTCAAGTCTTACTTCTTTTATGAAGCTTTTCTCACCCCTCCAGACTGTAGTGTTTTATTTCCTGTGGCACTTACTGTCTGTACTTTTCTTGTTATTCAACCACATAAGAGCTTGCCCTAGGAACTGTTTCATATATATGGTTTATTGTTTCAAGCATTTAGTAATTTATGAAAATGCAGACACTATATTTTATCCTTAGGGTGCACTTCTCCCAAATTGAATGTTGAGGTCTACAAACAGCAACTCAACTGGTTTTTGCTCTTCCCCTTAATAAAAGAAATTTAATATGCTCAGTTCCAGGTATATTCAGATATGTATGGATTTTCTATTCATTGGTATATTCAACAGTCCCGGTATATGGGCAAGAAGTTATGTCATAAAACATGAAAGCATAAATTTAAAACAAAGTATTACCTCATACAGCTGTTAATGGAACACTTCATCTTAAAAGGTTATTCAGATATTCAATAGCTGCTATTGATTCCAAGGCCCACAGTAAATACAAGTAGGAAACAAAAGTTAAGACGCAGTTGCCTGTCTCAGAAAATTTTCAATATATTAATAGAAAGTAATTACTACAAATAGATGTTTTGTGTATATATATTTACCACAATGGTAGATACATAAGATGATGTGATTAGTATGTGCATTCTAGAGGGGTTAAGGAAGAGTGTGAGAAGGGGGCATTTGAAGCAAGTCCTCAACTTGTAAAGATGGTGTGAAGAAAGGCAGCACCCCCTCCATATGGTCACCTCAGTCACTGTCATGAGCTTAATGAGCAGATTCAAAATTACCCAATGAAGAATGGCAGATTTGGTATTCTTATATTGTAAACGCAGGTATTTTCAGCAACCATAAGGCAATCACCTAGAATGTGAATAGAAGTCACAGTGTGTTACTCAGCTACTGTTGAGGGAATACTAAGATTTTTCTCAATAAAGTACTACCTTCATGATATTACAAATCAGCTAGTAATTGAAAATTGAATCTGCCTGCTAAAGTGTCTGTAAGAGTGTTAGGCACCATATATAATCCGCTAAAGTCTAAAAATTAGACTTTCCCTAAAATATCATCATGTGTCTAAAATTGCTTTCCATTTGCCCATCTGATGAACACTATTACAGTACTTCTATGTATTAAGTGCCTAGAAGATCTTCAGATATTTGTTTATACTGCTTTAAATTTCCAAGTGTGTTATTCCAACCCAAAACCAGAAATATTTCGGTGTTTCTTTTGCTCTTTAGCATGCAAACATTAATTTCCTAATCATGTATATAAGTAAGAGTGGCTGATTTTAAAATAGAACACATGCAGGGGTGAGAAAAGGGCTTGCCACATTTTATTTTTTAAATGCACAGCAAAAACATAGAGCAAAGACAACACAAAAGTATCACAAGTTTAGTAGTGCTGGAAATTCTATGAAAGACGTCTGTTCCTTGTTTAAAAATGATGTAATTTGGAGATTAAACATGTGTTTTAACAAACATTAAAAAAAAAAAAAAAACTAATAGACCATGGAAAATAAACTCCAAGAGTCATGAAGAAACTAACAGTAACCAAAACAACCAGGTTACAAAGTATGCTTTATTCAATTAAAGTTTGGATAAACTAGTGTGCACGTAGTGCTGATTTAAGGTGTCCCCAGGCATTAGTAACTTGTGTAACTAAGTCATACAGAGTCGATTTTTGTTAGTAACTCGAGCATTGCCACAGTTTGTAGTCAATATGCCTTTGAATGAGTCTCCTCATTTCTTTCTCTTTTCTCTCTTATGTAAGTGAGCCAAGAAATTAGTCAAATAACTGCTTAAAGCTGATTTACAAATGGTAATCATCATACTTTAAAGGAAAATATCAACACCAAATGCAATATGTAAGTTGGTACTTGTAATTTTAAATATATGTGATTTGGTAAAAGAATTCTCACTTAAATTAATTTTCAAAGGTTTAGTCATTACCTAATTTGTGCATATGTCCTAAGTGAGCATGGATATGATAGAAAATATGTGTAGGTAGATGAGTGATAGATGATAGATACATTGTAGATTATCTCTAACATGTTATTGCTAATACACATTAATATACATATATAACATAATAAAACCACACGTACAGAAATCTTAACAAAAATTCTGATAGCATTGTCATAACAATATCATTGCCTATTTATTTAGTAGTTCCCTCAATTAATTTTGCATTTTGAATTGGAATTCAGACTGCTCTCTGCTTTCCAGGAAAGAAAGATTATACATTTATATATATATATATATATATATATATATATATATATATATATATATATATTCACCAGAATATAAAATTTTATATCAAAATATAAGGAAGTAAAACTGACTGTATTGAGAATAATTAAAAAGGAAACAAAGGATGGTAGACATTCCAAGCTAGGCCAATATGAAGAATGCCTTGGAAGAATACAGTAAATATAGTTATATCCTTGGAGTCTCCCTATTATGTCCAAATATTCTCTTTTTATAAGAACACCAGTCATATTGGATTAGGATCCATCCTAGTGGCTTCATTCTAAGTTATAAAGTTAGAATCAACTCTACAAAGACGCAATTTTCAAATTCAATCACATTCCAAGTTACTGGGAATTACAGCTTCAATGTATGGGTTTTGACAATTCCGTCAGTTACAGTATTGTCAGTATTATTATCATGAGTATTATATTAATCTGTTTCAACCCATTACTCATTCTTCAAAGCTGCATTGAGAAGTAGGTATCTTCTTTTGCATTTGACAAGAGGGTCTTTTGATTAATATTGATTAATGTTTTCTTACTCAAGAAGTAAAGAAAATAGAATGTGTTCCTTGAAATTAAGTTTCTCCTGAGAGTACCATTCCAATGTAGACTTATTTTCCCTATCATCACTGTTTCCATCCTGCCGCTAGAACATTCCAACTGTAGCTAGAGAGAATGCTCCCTTTAGCCAGGCAGAACACCCACACACAAATAAACAACCATAAATTGTTGGCCTAGCAAAATTCTTCAGTTCTTAGGCTAAATGCTTTCCCCTCTGATCAGGATTCAGATTTTTGACCCTGGGTACTTCCTGAACTCTTTTCCTTCATCAGGGGATTTCTGACCTCAGGATTTGGGTTTTAATGTTTGGTAAAGAAAGTCGCCATCTTGAAAATGGTCAGAAACACACGTATTGCTAAATACAGAAGACCAAAATGCATGCATTTGCTTAGAAGTGGTGTGTGGTTTCTATCACAGCAAATCTGGGGAGGTTAGCAGCTACACAAATGTTTAACTGGGCTTTTTAGTTTTTTCAGATGAACCAGCTATTCAAATATATTATAATGTATTTGACTAAATTCAACAAATATACTGTACTGTGGACCCTACTCTGTGAGGTCTCTATTTGGGAAAGACTTTATTTTTTGTAGACTAATCTTTTCTTCAGGAGTTCCAGCAACTCAAATCCCCAGGGATCTCTCTGTAGGCGCTATATCACCTCGTTCTACCAGACCACACAGATTTCCCACCCTCCTTGCTTCTCTTTGCACTATTTCATACCTTTCTTTCTTCTCTAAGGAATAAAAAATACTTTCATACACATGCTCAGGCAAAAATCTAATGAGTTAGTTTGTTCCCATTTGGAAGTGTTTTTAGATGTAACCAAAATCTGTTAAGGAAATACAATGCAAGTTTTATCTGAAATGGTATAGTTCATCTTATATAATTTGCATTTGTATATCATTGTCAGGAATAAAGACATATTGTAAGGATTGCTAAAGATTTAAGCTGGCAAAGCATTTTTGCTCCTTTTAGCTCAAGTTTTTACAAATCAAAAATTGCTAAATGTTTTTATTGTTCTCTTGCTTCTAAATGCCATGTTTAGTAGACTCACATTTTAAATTAATTGCTCAGAGAGAGAGAGAGAGATGTATTTTCTTTAAGTTTGCAAGCGGGTAATATTTTTTTAAAGATTTATTTATTTATACAAGAACTGGGGTACAGGCCAGAGGCACAGAAAGGTGAGAGGATTCACCAGAGATAGAGTGGAGAACAGAACAGGCAAACAGACCAAAAACACTGCTGAGTGGAGCAGCAGGCGAGGCAGGAGAGGTCTGCCGTGCCATGTGGGTATCTCCCTGGCTGGCTGGGTATCAAACCCATGCTGTGGAGGCTGCAGACAGCTTCACAGCTCTGTGCTCAACCCGCGATGCCACTGGGGAGGCCCCACAAATGGATAATATTTTAACAAGTAGTATCATTTTCTTTCAAAACAATGTTGACAAAAAATCTAATTACAGAAAAGTGAATTCCACTTAAAAATGAAAATCAGTTCCACTATATAACAATCATTTAGGGCGTTTATGCCCTTTTTACCAATTTCATTCTTCCATTTTAAAAAACTGTCATTTTATTTGACTATCTGGAAAGGGCCTTGGGTGACTTTCCGAATCTGCTTCATGAAATGACTGGCCCCCAGGGCCTTTTCACAAAAGACTTCCTGTGAACTATTTTGTTTTCACACCTCCACCCAACTATAACTCTAAGGCAGCCTCTCAGGCTCAGAAATGGCACAATGCCTTTCAACACCAGTTGATTTTAAACAGCTTATTTGCCAGTTGGAAAGGAAAACTAGATGAGATTAGGTCTGGCACAAAAATTATATGTGTACATAATTATATATATGTGCACACACACACATACACACACATAAATTGTTTTTACTATGCTTATAAATTTTCTTGATACTCGAAAATGCTTAGTAAAGGCACCAGTTAATTTGTAACAAAATTTTATTAACAAGTCTGTGAAATGACACATGTTCTTTTTCCTTTTATGTATTGACTTCAATGTTGGCATCAAACTGCATAATATATGCAAAGACGTAAACTTTGAGAAGGTTATTTTTAATATAAAAACCCATATGCTGACCTTTTAAATTTTTTTCTGGTGGTCAGAACATAGGAAGTCAGCAGTAAATTCTTAAATATTGCACAATTTATTGGAAACACATTCTCATGATTTCTGCCAGCTGGCACCAACACAGGAACTTTACTCACAATGTTAGCAAGAGTTTAGTAAAAAACTTTTTTTTTAAAGGAGATAGTTGGAATTTGAAGGAACAATTAATCTATAAACTCTTAACTAAGTAAGAGTTTTGGCCTGATCTATAGAATAAAATGAGGCACCCAAATTAAGATGAAGTCTTCATGAAAGTTGCAGGGTACTTTAAAGAAGAAGTCACGTAAATGTAAAATATAATCCAAAGAGCTGAAGGCTACATCCTAAATGGTATAGTTGATGGATCAATAAACATTCTCTCATACTCTTTTATAATGATTCTTAAGCCATGTTTTTTTCTAAGAGATTGTTCTGCATATCTAAAATAAGCCTTACTCCTGGGCCAATTACTTTTCCATCATTCTTTGAAAGCATTGCCTCTTGAGCTTACCAGATTTTCCAGACTCTGAAAAAAATATTGGCTGAAAAATGTGAGAAGAAAATTATAAATTGAAATTGTTATTAACTGATGAGAAAATGTATACAAAACAGTACATTATGCCAACTATTCAGTTGCATTTAAACTAAGCTTAGTTAATTATATATAAATAATGTTTAATGCGAGATGTGGAAGTTTCTTAATATAATTGATACAACAGAGAGTTAGACCTCTGAGAGTTCCTAGATTCTATGAAGTCTTTTTAAATGGTCATACTCAAACCAAAGTATTCAAATGACATTGCTAGACATTTTGAGTAAATACTATTCAAATATGAAATTAATTTTAAATTCTGTCCATACTATAAATGGTAAGATTAAAACTATATGAATATTTTCACAAACCTCAAAAAAATAGGATTTCTTTATCAAAATAAAATAGGAAGAA